CATTGGGATGAGTTTTGTGCTGGAAGTGAGTTTAGATGGAGCTTCGATATACTTCATATATTAATTAATTATAAGGATTTCTTATATCTTGCCTATTGAATAGAAGATGTAAAGAACTATGAATTAAACCATAGATTTCAGGAAGAAAAAAGAAAAAGAAAAAAGATTGGTTTTTTGAATCCCTACAAAGACTCTATGGCTACCACAAAAGAGCAAATCTACTCTGTTTCAGGATAAATGTACTTTCTTCCTCTTGTTTCTTTTACTTTAGGTTCAACAGTACTTGTTTTGTCTTATTTTTACATGGAAAAACTTTAGTGAATACACATGAAATCACAAGCCTCACAAGAAAATATGCATGCCATTTGGATTTTGAACAACCTGACAGTTATGTTAATTTTGATGCACCACTTAGTTGACTTAAATCAATATTAATCTGTTATTGATACAAATACTTGAGCAACCCTCATCCGTGGGTTTTGTTGGGACATCACTTGAATCACCAAGATGAATAGATTGTATAGTGTAACAAACAAGATCAACCATTTGATCTATTGGCCTGTCAATGAAGTTAAGCTAAAAAGAATACATGCAGTTATAATAATATTGGATAAGTAAGGTCTATAGCATTATGCTTAGTTTTCTTTTACTTTAATAATGGTAGTAGATGACGCAACAGAATTACAAGATCGTGATTCCGATGGATAAGTAGTTGATGTTTCTGAATGACTTGTATCAAATGAAGTATCATCAATGGGCAGCTCTGGTGGAGATAGAAAGGGTCGGGGTGGCATTTGTAGAACTTCAATATCATCTTCCAACATGTCTACAACTTTGCTCATGGAAGGACGATCAACAGGATTCATTTGTATGCACCATAGTGCAACTATGACCAGTTTCTTTGCTATCGTCTTTTCATCATCTGTTGCATCTCCTATTTCGATGTCTTCTCCATGACAGAGTCTGTCATATATCCAGGATGGGAAATAAAATTGGCTTGAATGATCCCTTAATGCATTTATGGCTTTCTTCCTGCCTGTAATCTCCAACAATAGCATTCCAAAGCTATAAACATCAGCCTTATTTGAGATGCCACCAATGTTTTTATATATCATTTCTGGAGCTATATAGCCTATTGTTCCTCGTGGAGCTGCAGTTAGACTCACAATGCTGTCATCTGTTGAAAAGAATTTTGCAAGCCCAAAATCTGATATCTTTGGAACAAAGTTGTCATCAAGAAGAATGTTATGGGGCTTGATATCAAAATGCAGAATTTGTGTATTGCATCCTCGATGTAGATATTCAATACCACGACCTACACCTAGGACAATGCCAAGCATCTTCTCCCAACTGAGAGAGATGATATTTTCTTCTTGGCGAGCAGATATATACTTGTCTAGAGATCCATTGGGCATGAATTCATAAATAAGAGCCCGTTTCGAACCCTCTGAACAGAACCCAATTAGTTGCACCACATTAACATGATGAATCCTTCCAATGGTGGCAACTTCATTGATGAAGTCTTGGCCATTACCTTTTGTCTGGTCTAACATTTTTATTGCCACATGGTGGCCACTTTTTAGCTTTCCTTTGAACACAGAACCATAACCCCCTTGACCCAGTTTCTCCTTAAAACTTTTAGTCACCTTCTTGATGCTTGAATAAGAGTACCTGATTGGCATGAGATTGTTGTGACTTTGTAACAAGTCCTCAATACTCTCATCTATTGATAAGTGACGTCGTCGTAGTTTATAAATCAAAAATGGGAAGAAGCACATGATACCACATATAGTTCTTGCTGAGATTATGAATCCTGGAAAAATAAATCACATCATATACCCTCAAAGTAGTTGCTTTTTCAGTGAGACTATGCTAATGTGGAGTTTTTTTTTTTTTTTTCCCATAAATTGCTAATGTGGAGATTATGCTTCATTTACTTGAATCTGTAATTTAACATCAAAATGGCTTACCTGCCATTATGAAAATGCCCAGGCAAACATTACCCGTTAGAACTGTGACAAAAGAACCAAAAACAAAACAAAAGAAAAAGGAGATGTTTAGCAAATAATAGGAGATGCACAGACAATGTAAAGAAATATAAAAAGATTCATGGTCCTCACTATTTCTTTCGTCGGAGTCGCTTATGATATTTAATTCTTCTAGAAAAGTGCCACCAAGAAAAGGGAAAAGGTAATGGAAGAAGCCTGCATTGCCAAAGGCAGAGAATCGCAGTCATGCCTTTAAAATCAACAGAAGAAAATAAATTACATTAAATCCAAATGAAGTCGAACCCAAAATTATTCCTCTTCCCTCTTTAATAAAATTCATACATAAACATACATAAGCCATCTTCTTCCCTATTTAGTATATAATTCTCCTTATTCAGGAATCCTCTCCCTGCCATATCCAAATTACATTTTCCCCTTTTTATTGTCCCTGTTCACATCTCCATTCATGAACATTATTGTCTGAACTGTGATTTTTTTTTTGAATACACCGCAACTCTGAACCAAAAACAGAGAATACGGTAAAATTTCAGTTGCCACATGTGTGTTATGCAGTGAAAATAGATCAAATTAATATACATTAATTCGTGTTTAAAATGTTCTCATTTAAAAATGTTTAAATATGTTCTTAAATTCTTCAAAATATGTAAAAATACAAGTTCTGTGGTTTCTGTAAAAATATGTGTTGTTCTTTGCCCCATATAATTAGTAGGGAAATTTTCAATTAATCTGGTACTAGCTATACTCTGTGAAGTGTGAACTAACAAAATGGAAACATTGAAGTATGAATTAGGGAGTAGCAAACTGCAATATATTATTAATGCGTTTAATTGAATGTGTTAAAGAGTGATTTAGCTGTACTAACAGTTAATATACTTTCTCTACTAGGGATGGGGCTATAGAAATTTCTTACGCACAAGAGAAGGACTGAAGTGCTGATATGCAGCCAAAGTAAATGCAGTTGGGGTTCGATTTGTCACTAACTCCACTCATATCACAATAGCCTCCTGTAGCATCGCAATCTGAGCAATCCATTTGAAACCAGAGAGGAAAGCCCATTGCCATCCTATGATGGATGTAATGAAAAGAAAAGTTCTCTAACTTCTCCAATGCAATCAATTCCCTGTTGGTAGACAAATCGTCCAATACAACTGGAACAAATAAATTGACGCCGCAGGAGTCTGGGATTTCCCAAATACGAAAGGAATGACCCACTAGAGCATAGGAATAATGTTTCTGCCAGGAAGCGATGGAAGAATCCACTGAACCATTGATGCAAGGTGACATATCTAGCACACAATACTCATCGCTGGAGGAATGATCACGACCACAACCAACTCTCCTCACTGGAGCCTCGCAACTAAGATGAGCAACTTGGAACCAGTAGTTCCAGTTCCTTTGATCGAAAGCAAACTCGTATGGTTCTCCTCCGTCACTGAAGTTAAAACGGCTGAGCGAATAACGAGGCATAGAGGAACAATTGTCATCCTGCAGACCGGAATCGACGACTCGAATTGTACGATTCTCGTATGAGACCTCCTCCACATAGTACCTCCCTTGATGCAAGTATAAAACAGTGCGGTTGTTCTCGCAAGCGAGTTCGTAGTGAGGGTCACCGCAGTTGATTCGAGGATCGCCCTTCAAACGAAATGGGTAATGTATGTTTTTGATGTTGCCGCAAGAAGAAGGAGAGCAGTATTCGTTTTTTTTGGCTGCAGTGGCAGTGGAAGTGGCAGCAACAGCAAGAGCGTCACAAGCTACAAAGCAAAGAACGCAGAGAATGGCAGAATTGATGATCACCATTAACCCTACAGCATCGACTGTTTTCCTCAACATCTGAGCAAGAGAGGAAGAGAGAGTTCTTAATACTATAGTATTTGAAGTCTGGTTTTTAGGATTTTGAGAGGGGGAAGATCAATCGGATTTTGGTTSATTTGACCAATATACTCCTGTTCTTTTATTTTTTCAGATTTATGTAGGGATAAATCTGATTTCATCTAATCAAGCAGTTTTAAACCTCTATTCCTACAAACCAAACAGACCCTTATATAGACGATAATCCTTTCTTACCATCTTATGAGTCTCTTTCAACAAAACAATTAGTCAAATTACGTTCCATTCCTGGAAGGACGCAATAATGGAGTGGAGTGTATGTTAAGATCTAAGTTAGTCAGTTACGTTATTGTGATGCCCAACTCAGATGTGACCCACTTGAATATCTTGACTTGGCCAGATCACGGTGAAACCGGGAAGTGGGGAAGACAATTCCGTCAATGGTCGTTCGTATGTTACAAGATCTTATATTGGGTTAGACCGTGTAGAAGATAATGAATGTGGCAGGGTTCATTTCTAGCCCAGATTTTATCATCAGATTTGTAATTTATTTCGTCTGGATGTGGATTTGGGTCCATTTTCAAATACGCATCTTGTATAACAATGTCCAGTCACCAGTGATACAAAAAAGGGGATTAGGAATCTCAGCGTAGTGCATTAGTGCAGCTCCGGTTAGATCCCGGAGAAGTGCTGCTCGGAGATGGGCGGTGGTGGTTGTAGGAGTAGTAGCAGACAGCCACAAGTGGTTCCTGTTCTATACTTAGTCCTCTCTTTACTACCGCTCATACTCGCCTCGGCATACGCAGTAGCAAACCAAGACGACTGCAACGTTTCAAACTGCAAGCATCATGGCCCTGACATCCGATTCCCCTTCAGGCTAAAAGAAGACCGGCAGCACAGTCGGTGTGGCTATGCTGGGCTCGAGCTATCATGTACAGAGAAGAAAGAAACCAAACTGGAGCTACCATTTTCGGGTGCCTTCCTTGTAAAAGCCATAGATTACAGATCCCAACTGATGGAAACCTATGACCCTCAGGGCTGTATCATCAAACGGCTTCTACGCCTCAATTTCTCGGCATCACCGTTTCATCAAACACCCTCTCCACAATTATATTATGGAGATGGTATACCGGCTCCGGATTTTGTGCACTTCATTATCATATTAAATTGTTCATCAACAGAATTAATAGGRAAAGCGCAGCGAGTCAATTGCCTTGAAGTCTCCGGTTACCAAGTTTATGCCGTTCATGTTTCCGATGATCAGTGGCTGCAGGGCTATATGCCACCGCCGTCTTGCCGCAAAGTGAGGACCATCTCAGTCCCATTTTCCGATCATTTCCTATCTCATATTAATGACCCAGATTTAAGCATCTTCTTCAGCTGGAAATCACCAAATTGTTCATATTGCGAGGAAAAGGGCAAGAGATGTACTTGGAAGAACCACACCAGTGGATCCCGTATTCAGTGTCTTGACATTCCCACTAAAGGTATTACACTCTGTTCATAATTAGCAAATTTGTGTAACTTTTTCTTTCAAGAAAAATACAAATTGTGGCAAATCTTAAGAAATATCTTCCGAGTTCCGACAGCCCATATTGCCAAAAGAATAAGATCAGAAAGTTTTGGTTAATTAAGATTTAAAAAATTCATTAAAAAGTTTATTTACTGTGCAAAAAAAAAAAAAAACCTCAATTGAAAGTTTCCTGAAATTTGGTGGTTTCAGTCCTTTCAGATCTTTTTGATTGTGTTTAGGTATACCCACAGCTTTGTATTACCAAAAAAAAGACCGAAAGTCAGTCTTCTAACCATGCTAAAGCCTAGAAGACTATGTGGAAAGGTGGAAAGTTGAACCAAAACATCGCCTAAATTAGGAAGGCCAACAACACACCCTGAATTCAAAGAAAGGGGAAAAAACTCAAAGATGCTTCTACCTCTACCTCTTCTACCCTTTACCTCGTGCTGAGTGCCCCTCCAGAAGAGGCTTAACTACCGAAGTATCATAATAATCCACCAATAACTTGGATTTTCTCCTCCCAGACAGGAGCATTGAAACCCGACCAAGAGCGCTCTGTCTCGGCATCCGTATCTAAACCGGAAACAATGTCATTCCGAGAGGTATAAGAACTAATATGAATTTTTTCCTTAAAAGAGAATTACTGAAGGTACAGGACATTAGTTATCCCGAATCTGATGAAAAGTTTATTTGATAAATCATGATTTTTAAAAACGAAAACCGTTCAACCTGAATGGCCGGTCTGTTTTGACAAAAAATAAAAAAATTTAAAAAATTGGAAAACAGTCAAAACCGTTCAAACGGTTTGAACAGTTAATTGGTCGGTTTCAATGGTTAATTGACCAAAATCAATTGTTTTGGAGGAAAAAGCAGTTTTGGAGAAAAACAAAACCGGTCATCCCAATTTTTCTGGTCTGAACGTCCAGTCCGGTCCGGTTTTAAAGGACTTTTCCTTGCTAATTTCAAAGCTTAGCATACTTAGCATTCAAGTCTTGAGCTTCTGAGTTGATTAAAAAATTCTGTTTTAACTCCTATTGATATTACACTTATCTCTTTGTATAACTTGCTAGAATGCAAATAAGCCTCGAAATAATTAATATAATTAAATTGATTATGCCTTTATATTCAATGGTATTAATAACTAATTTGTTATGGATGTTTCTATTGTTTGTAGGTGTAAGCATTGGGCAAGTCGTGACAGGTAGTCTTCTTTTCTACCCTCCAAAACCTAACTAAATAAGTTTTTCTTTTCTGTAGTAATACTTAAAAATGCTACTAAAAGAAAAAAAGATAATTACAGAAAATGAACAGCTATTCTAGAAAAATGGGTTAGAAGTAAATCTATTCGTTAGCTAAAATTAGGCCTAAATACCACAACCACAAGAAAAACAGACCACAAGAACACAGAGTCCCTCCTAACTATTAACAATTAATTCCAGCCAACATAAACCATGAACTACCTCTCCCTCAAACATTTCTTCCCTTTGGGTTCCAACTGAACCATTATGTCAACCTATAAATGTAAAATCAACCATCTACTCATGGTCGGGTAGCGCTGCACAAAAATCGTGAATCACGTCCGTTGATGTATATATATTGATGTGGTCCACCTTGAATTGAATGAAGGAGAAGTATGGATACATCCAATATTTAAAATGTCTAAAAACCTTATTCTATGCATTTATACCTATCCGTGAATTGGTGTCAATTTCTGGTACCTACCTAAATGTATTTTGAACTTACAAATTCTGACACTGGGGGTATCGGTCATTTTCTTTAAATATAATGGATTAATAGTAATACATCAAAGGCTGTGATTTTACAGTTTTAGTCCGGTGCCAGTTCAAGTAGAGCTGATTTCTCCTCTACAAATTCCCTCATTCCAAGGAGATTGCAATTCTATAACTCTCCTTTACAAAATTTGGCATATCATTAACACTGCATTCTTTCAATAAATCACATATAACACTCATACCTTGTGTTAAAACTTAATTAATTATAATGAGATGATGAGAATCGAACACTAAACCACTTAATCAAAGTAACTATGATACCATCTCAAAGAACTATTCAACTTAAAAACTTAAATTATTAAGTAAAGTTGTTGAATAGGTTTTTCTTAATTTATTCTCTAACAGCTCCACCTAGAAAGAATAACCCCATCTTTTAGCATCTCCAAATCTCTCTCCACTCTCCTCCTGGCTCCCGCCTAGAATTTTTCCATTATTGTTCCCCACCACTGTGATGGTTAGTGGCAATGCTTCTTTCGGAATTGAAGGTACATTACCCGTCTCCCCATCTAATATTTACTCAAAGAATGTCAATTTCTTTAGGAACTCCAGTCTTCACCTCTTTCCTAATTCTTTACGTCGAGAATCATTCTCCTTCATGGTCACCGTCTTTCTAGCTCTCCTGTTGACTCTACCTACCACATTGACCTACTACTAGATCTTGGACTACCTAAGCCTCCAACAATTGAATTTGCATCCTCTAGATACAGGGTTGAGAAAATTTTGGAACCCTCCAATAAAAAACTTCCACTTCTTTATTTAACATGAAATTGAAACTTAACGAAGTTTAGAATTAACATTATTATGGTCTCAAAAGAAATAAATTTTGTTAATCTACCCAAGATATTACTCCCTTTTAACCTCTCTCTCTCTCTTTCTCCCTCTTCTTCCCCTTCACCGCCATTGGTACAATGTTACTTATCATTTCGCTTTTGTTCCTCTCTTGCATCCTCCTATAAGAATAATAAGAGAGAGAGAGAATTGAGAACAATGGTCCAATTGCCTTATTTGCCTTTCACTACTGATATTCAAAGAGTACAAGAGTGGGTAAGTCCTATCCTAGTTAGAATAGGTTAAATAGAATCCTAATTGGGATAGAACTTATCTGACTAGGATAAGTTTATCCTTTACAAAGATAATCTACAGAGATAAGAAATATCTACAAGAGGAGAGAAGCACAGTAGGAGAGGTAATTACAATAGTCTACACGGTGAAGAAGGAGAAAGAGGAGGTCCACGTGTATGCGCCATGTGTGTATGTGCCATGCACGTTATCGTTTACACCCCCCCCCCTCAAGCATAACTGGGGGAGACACGGTGAGCTTGTGACGAAGGGCCTCAAATTGTGGAAGACCAAGGGGCTTGGTGAGAATATCTGATATCTGATCCACCAAGGGAATATAGCGTACATCAAGAAGCTTAGCTGCAACTTTCTATTCAATGAAGTGAATATCCAACTCGATGTATTTGGAGCGAAAATGAGGAGTAGGATTATTAGCAAGAAATTTAACCCCCATGTTGTTGCACCATATTAAAGGAGTCACAGAGAGAGAGATACCTAGTTCTTGGAGGAGCATATGAAGCCACAAAACCTCAGCAGTGGTAGAGGCTAAGCTACGATATTCCGATTCAGTGCTGGATCGAGCCACTGCATATTGCTTTTTAGAGCTCCAAGAAATTAGGTTAGGAACAAGAAACACATAATACTCTAGGAATGTTGATTCATAGCACAGTCACCCCAATCATCATTAGAGGAAGCAACAAGAGAGAAGGTATGACATGGTCGAAGAAGCAAGCCATAAGTGATTGTGCCTTTTAGATATCGAAGAATCCTCTTTGCAGCAGCCTACTGGACCATAGTAGGAGATTGCATGAACTAGCATACCTTATTTACAACAAAGGCAATTTCTGGACGAGTAATGGTTCGTACTGGATAGCATCAACAATGTTGCTGAAGAAAGTTGGATCAGTGAGAGGTTCACCCTCTAATTTGGTGAGACGAGTGGAGGCAGACATAGGACTGGAGAGAGGTTTGGCATCATGAAGTTGTGCTTGATGTAAAAGGTCATCAATATACTTATGCTAAGAGAGATGAAAACCATTGGTTGATCGGTGATGTTCAACACCCAGAAAATAATGTGCAGAGCTCAAATCATGAAGAGAAAACTGAGAAGCAAGATGTTGAATTAGGGTGTTAGTAGCAAAGGAAGAGTATCTTGTAATAATGATGTCATCCACATAAATAAGAATTAAAATGATGTCAGATCCAGAACGAGAGATAAAAAGGGAGGCATCAGCATGGGATTCAAGAAATTTGAGAAGAAAAGAAAGTCATGCAACCTTGTAAACCAAGCTCGAGGTGCTTGTTTCAAACCATAGAGAGATCGATGGAGACGACAAACATGCGTTGGGAATCTGGGATCAACAAACCCAACTGATTGCTTCATGTATATTTCTTCTGAAATGTGGCCATGTAGAAAGGCATTACTAACATCCAATTGGCGAACATCCTAATTAAAGGAAATAGCAAGAGATAGTACTATGCGAATGGTGGTTGGTTTGACAACAGGGCTGAATGTCTCATCATAGTCAATGCCAGCTTCCTGATAGAATCCTTTGGCAACAAGTTACTCTTTGAAACGCTCAACCAAACCATCAGGATTGCGCTTGATTTTAAAGACCCATTTGTTGCTAATAATATTCTTATCAGGTGGAGCCGGAACAAGAGTCCAAGTTTTATTTTGAAGTAAGGCCTTATACTCATCAGTCATTGCAAAATCCCCTCGAGGATCCTTGTGAGCTTGAAAATAACAAGTTGGTTCAACTTTAGGAAGAGGACTAGCAAGTAAGGCATACCTCGGATTGGGCCTGAATATACCATGACGAGCCCGAGTGGTCATCGGATGCAAGGAAGAAGAAGGTGGTAAAGCAAAAGCAGTAGATTTAGTAGTGGAAGATGGGGACACAACATCCTGAGGAGACGATGGAGAGGATGAAACTTTACCTGGCGATGTAGATGGTATGGAGAACCGGAAAATGATTCTCATTAAAAGTAACATCATGAAAGATGAAGATCCGTCCCGTAGAGTGATGCAAATAAACATATCCTTTATGAGAATTAGAATACCCAAGAAATACACATAAAAGAGAGCAAGGTTGTAATGTGTACTTATTATATGGCCGAACATGTGGAAAGCATTCACACCCATAGGCATGGAGCTCGAGGTAGTCTGGAGGATGACCAAATAATTTCTCAAACGGAGAGAACGACTCAAGAACCAAAGTAGGAAGCTGATTAAAGAGATAGGCGGTAGTGGAGAAGGCTTCAAACCAATATTTAGGAGGGACTCCAACATGAGTCATAAGAGCAAGACCAGTCTCAACAATATGGCGATGTTTGCATTCAGCTCACCCATTCTGTGCCTATGTATATGGACAGGATATACAGCGATAGATATCCACATGATTAAAATAATTTTCAAAGGTCTTGAATTCAGAGTCACCATCACTTTGAAAATATTTAATTTTAGAATCAAACAGTAATTCAACAATAGCTTTGAATTTCAAGAACACATTAAAAGCATCAGGTTTGCAGGTGAGAGGTAAAATCCAACTATACTGACTAAAATCATCAACAAAAAGAATATAGTAATGATAGCTAGAAGCAGATGTCACTGGAGAGGGTCCCCATAAGTCACAATGAATTAATTCCAAAGGAGATTTGCTAATGGTATGTTTTTGTAGAAAAGGAAGTACATGACTTTTGGCTATTGAGCAAGGTGAACAAAAATGAAATGCAGTACTAGAAATTATCGATAAATGCTGAGAAGAAATAATTTCTTGAGTCACTCTAAGAGCATGGTGATCCAGTCAATGGTGCCAAATCGCAAGGCTAGCATGAGTACCTACAAATGCAGAGGGGGACGAAGCTAGTATCGTGATAGGGAGATGAAGCTGATATAAACCATCTTTATTTAGCTCTCGAAGAAGTATCATCCCGGTGCGTCGATCCTTCACAAAAAATTCATGAGGATGAAATTCAAAGTAGACATTATTATTAGTAGAAAACCGAGCCACAAATAAGAGATTCAAGGAGATTCAAGRAACATGTAGAATATTATTCATAAGGAATGATCTGAAAGATAAGGTAGAAATAGTAGAAGGGCCAGAATGAGCAATCTTCAAACCTGAACCGTCACCAATAGAGACTTAATCAGATCCATCATAGTCAGAATGGATTTACAGTTTACTAAGATCCAAAGTGAGGTGATGTGTTGCTCTAGAATCAGGAAACCATATATCTATACTCTGCTTGTTAGGTCTGAAAGTAGCCGTAAACACCAAGGGTTGTGGTCATTTAGGGTTCTTTAGATTCTCAATATGTGCAAGGAGTTTCTAATAGTACCTAGCAGAATGATTTCGTCCTCCACAAATTTGGTAGGGATTATTTCTATATTTGGAGGGTTTGGTGGATCCATTACCCGTTTGTGGTAGATCAACTTTATTATATTTCTTGGAATCCTTCCCTTTAGAGGCAAGATTCACAAAAGGAGAGGTAGCCTGTGCAGTTACTGAATGAAGCAAGCGATTTTCATGAGTGAGAAGCATACCTTGTAAGCTAGCAAATGATAATTCATCTGTTCGGATAATTATAGTTGTAGAGAAAACATCATAGTCTAGACCGAGGCCATTGAGGGCATGATGAATTAGTTGCAAATTTGTCAGAGGCTTTCCAATTGCAGTTAGTTTGTCACCAAGTACCTTGAGTTTTTGCAGATATCGGTCATGGAGAGAACATTTTTTCGTAGTGCTTCGAGTTCGTTTCTGAGACCAACGACACTAGCTGTTCCTCAAGGAGAATAATGGCTCTCAAGAGTTTCCCAAACATCCTTACTGGTTTTGCTTCCCATTACCTACGCTAGTGTTGTTTCCATCAGAGAAGATAACAACCAGCTGAAAATATAATGATCCTGCTTAACCCATTGTGTATAGGGTTCTGACATCGAGCAAGATGGACAAGGGGTTGTCCCATCAACATATCCAAGGAGTTCATGGCTCAGAAGGGCATTTTCAACCTGAAAGCACCAAACAATATAGTTGGAACCATCCAACCGAACCGAAATCAACTGAGGAATGTGATTCCCCGATGCACCGGAGTTTATTTGATTGATTGAACTAGTAGACATGCTAGAAGACATGATGAAAATCTGAAGAAAAAAAACTGCTTGAAATGAGAGAGAAAAAAAAACTACTTATGGCTTTGATACCATATGAGAATAATAAGAGAGAGTAGAGAGAGAGAGAGAGAGAGAATTGAGAACAATGGTCGAATTGCCTTGTTTGTCTTTTAGTACTGATATTTATAGAGTACAAGAGTGGGTAAGTCCTATCCTAGTTAGGATAGGTTAGATAGAATCCTAATTGGGATAGGGCTTATCTTACTAGGATAAGTTTATCCTTTACAGAGATAATCTATAGAGATAAGAAATATCTACAAGAGAGAGAAGTATAGTAGGAGAGGTAATTACAATTCAAATTGAAGTGGGAGTCTACAATTCAAATTGTATGCGCCATGTGTGTATGTGCATGCACGTTATCATTTACACCTCCTTTTGTTCCTTCGTATCAGAAAGCTATGATGAAGTTTTTATCACCAAATGGCAGGGTTAAAGTGTTAAAGTATGTTTTGGTGCCAGAGCCTCACATGAAAGATGGACATCTTCAACGGAAGAACCACTCTCTGATGTGTTCAAGAACATGGCAAAATGCATCTGCGTCAACCACCCAGCCAGTATCTTGGCACGTAAGGTTGATGCAAACTTCATCATAGTTAGAAAGTTAAGATGGTTAACACGCCATTAGAGGCAACCGTAGTGGTTTCCTTCTCATATTTCCTTTTCTCCTCATCTTCTTTCTGATCTTGCATCAGTTTTATACATTGGATTTGTCATGGTGGTGAGAAACCCTATTCTTGCTTCTCCCAAGATTATCTATAACAAGAGCTTCTTTTTGAGATGAGCTTGAGGAATTTCTCTTTGTCTCTTTATTTAGGAGGCTAGTTGTGTTCTGTTAGAGAATATCAATATATTCAAGAACCTCACTTAACAGCTTAAGCTTTTAGGTTGAATGGTTCTTTGAGATGGTATCAGAGTCATTTTGACCAAGTGGTCTAGTATTCGATCTTTATTGTCCCCATTATAATTAATTAAGTTTCAGCATAAGGTGTTTGTTCACATATTAAGCCCAATGGGCTTTCATCATTCAGAACTATCTTCATGGAAGAGAGATGGCTAATGATACTCTACCATCTCATTTAGGTGCTCAGCAATGGAAGTTCATATTTTCTTAAACTTTAGGTTAACAAGCTTATGTATCAACAAGGCCTTGTTCACAGCGGTCTTTCTTTCATATAAGCTCTATCTCTAGCTACTTTTAAAGAGAATGCACTGATAGGTTTCTATGGAAACCTGATGAGAAATTGTGTCCTCAATCCATTTCCATGACTCCAGCGGCCCTTCTATCAAGCTTCTTCCATTATTCGAATGATGCGTTTGATGGGTCCTTATATGACTGTTTGAGAACACTTAAAAGAAGTACTTCTTTTAAGACATGGGACCACACATTAAGTGGTTTTTAAGTACTTATGGGTGTTTGGTAAAAAAGTGGTGAAGAAGTACTTTTTTTAAAGAAATATTTCTTTGAAAAAGTAACTTCAAGTTGACTGTTTTTTTAAGTACTTCTTCAAGAAGTAATTCTCCAAAAGAATAGGACGAACCAGTCCCTGACAAATTTTTTATAATAACGAAAATACTCCCGCGAGGTTATACCTTCCCCTTCACTCATTTGATCCTCAAACCCTAGCAGAAGTAGCAGTACACCAGTTGCAGGTCCACCAGCGGCGATTGGCAGCAAGGTTATACCTGCCGTTTGGCCTCTTTCCTCTATACATTCCACTCTGTGCTCCCAACTCGATTTCTCTCCTGGCTTGAAGAGCAAACCAGAGAGAGTTCCGTTCTTCATTAGGTCATAAACCAAAGTCCGGTGCTTGTCCTCATTATAGAAGCCCAACAGGCGAACCAGATTCCTGTGGTGTGTTTGACCAATAGCCGTCAGCTCCGCCTCAAACTTCCACTGTGAAATTCGTCAACGATGGCTTCTCTATACAACGATCCGGCTTGATCTTTGGGTAGCATCCCTTAGCAATGTTATTGGGATCTAAGGGGCGATAACCCGGGAGGGTGTCACAGCTGATTGTCTCATTATCTGGTGAAGAGCAAATCCCGTACACCCCACAAATAGCATTCACTGTGCAGGGCTTGGTTATTACTCTCCACACCATTTTCCATTGGCCGTTGTTCTTCTTCTGGTACACGTGTTGTTGTAAATTTCCATGGTCGTTCAGCGTCACTCTGTAGTAGTAGTCCTCGGTGGGCTTTGGCACATCCTCCATTAATGGGAGGATGATGTTTGTGGTATTTTTGAGGTACATGAATGCATTTTTCCGGTTGAAAACCAGGCTTACATTATTAATGTTTATTGTGTTTGAGACCCAGTAACCAGGATGTGCGAAATGATAAGCAAAGAGCACCAGATTACTATCATTTGTGCATCTCCAACATGAAGTTTCCGGTTGAGTAGTCGACGGTCTCATTTGCATTGGAATATAGCTTTCTACCTGCAACCAAAACTTGGCCTGGTAAGGGAGTGTCCATCGGTGAATCAAATGTTTGCCAAAGAACACTTGAACTGTTCAAACGCAGGTGACAATAGGTTATTATTAATTGGATCTACATGGCAGCCCACCTACGGGTTCATGTGGATTCTCAGTTGAAAGTATAGTATAGCATGTGAAAAGTATTGTATATATGTATGAGTGAAGTGAAGGCTAAAATTGTCATTTGAATGAATATAAACACTTATGGGAAAAGTAACTTACCAAACATTCCCACTTCAATAAGTACTTAAAAACATAATAAGTGATTTGAAAAGTGAGTTACCAAACAGTCTAAAGGTTTGTTAAAATAAATACTTCTAAGAAGCATTTACAAGTACTTAATCATCAAATAGGGCCCTAGTCCACCTAGAACTTCTACTATTTCACAAAAACAGGATTACTTAATAAGAAGATGGAATCTTATTCTCTGTACAAGAATATAACCTTACAACTACTATTAGTCACACCATTTGTCTTAAATGAACTGCACATTAGGCTTTGTTTGGTTGAAGTGCAATTTTATTTGCACTAGCACAAATGCATGGGAGTGCAAACATAAAAAATGCAAATTCTTGTTTAATTTTGTTTTGGATTTTACTTTATTCTGCTTCATGTCTTAATTTACTTCATTTGTACTGCGATCAAAACAAAATAAGTTAAAATTTGAAACAAAAATAGGTCAAAATTTATACTCAAATCATTTGCACTACCATGATTTTGCATCAATGCAAATTTATTTGCATTGCAACCAAACACAGCCTTATATACAAAGAAGACAATTCATATACCAACGTTTTGAGAATACCATAAGCAACAAGTGGTAGAATGAAAGAGTGTCACGAGGTGCGAGAACCATTGGTTCATGGGAATGAAAAGGGCTGAGATGGTGGGTAGGTTAGCAAAATTTATGGCCTCTGTTTGGTTCGTGGGAATAGGGTCTAGAATCAGACTAGGAATGGCCCAATATTGTAACTCCAATAGTTTTGTTGGCAGAATCAAAATCTCATTCCCATCCATGGTAGAATGGCATTCTCCCATTCGAGGGAATGACCATTTTGTCCCCCTCCTTTGAGAATAAAATCCCATTCCAATTTATTTTAATTCTCATGCATTCATTTCCTGTCTAAACCAAACAAACTATAAGAATAGACCATTCTAATTCCAATTCTAGAAAATTACAATTTTAATTCCAATTTTGATCCCCACTATGAACGATTTTTGGAGTCCAGACTAAATGAAGACATGAAAGTTTTTGTATCAGGATCCAAAAAACTTTCTATTCCATGGGTGAAATTCGAGTTTCTCAACCATTTGACTTATGAATCATCCTTAATTAGAGCTTGCCACATGATTGTGAAATTCGAGTTTCTCAACCATTGGACTTGTGAAATTAGAGCTTGCTAAATGATTGTGAAATTCTTTTATGTGCATGGGCCTTCTTGGGCGCAACAACCTGATTTAAAAGCTCTCAGATATATATTCGAAACTGGGATCAAAGCTTGCAAATTTTGAGCAATCCGACTGATTTGACTTTAAAATAGGCTTTAAATCCAGCTGAATTACGTGTCACGGTTGAACACTAGTACAGCTGGGTCCCAGATGGCCACAGTGAGCACTGGTAAATAATTCAAGCTGGTGTGTATAATTTTATCTCCAATTCATCCGGACTGTCAAATCTACTAGGGATTAGGGTCATTACCTYCCCTATATTATTCAAAAACAGCCCAATATACGAAGCCGGAGATGCTCAGTTCAGATCCGGTCCACTACAAATTCGACTAAGAGCCCAAAAACAATCATGCAATGTTACCCAAAAATTATTTAATATCTGTAAGTGTAATCGTTGGGTTATTTCTTCTTGTGGTAGCAATATTAACATTCACAAAATTCTACCTTGTTTACAATTCAGATAATAGTAGTAGGTATACTATTATAGTAGTGGTGGTGATGTACTTCAACTTCCTAACTTTATCAATTATTTTYCTACTTACCAAGTTCTAATTTACTTCCTAATAATAGATCTCGATTTGTTAGAACTCAATAAACAAATAAAACTTGCTAATATCATTAATTTGAGAATTATGCCTATGCATTCAGTGACATTAATAACGACTAATTAATTTACTACTATTGTTATTATTGTTTGTGGGTGTACATATAAGCTAAGGGTGTCAATGGACTGGTTTTGGATTGGATCCCATTCAGTCTAGAATCAAATTAAATGGATTGGATGGACCAACAAGACTTATTGATTGGATCAATTCGGTCCAAAATATTTATTATAGAATGGATTGGACCTGGTCCATCCATAATAAATTTATATTAGATTGGGTTGGATTAAGTCAATATCTGGTCCATTGATATAAAATAAGAATATAGGTGTCCGTGAAATAGGTATGGGTTGAAACCAATCTAAATCAAAATGAATTTCAACAGATTGAACGGTCCAGATATTGAATTGGACCGGTCCAAAATGGGCCAATATATTCATTAGATTGGATTGGACCTGATCCATTTATAATGGACTTGCATTGGACTGGATCGGGTTGGACCAAATTCAGATCAATTGACACCCCTGATATAAGCAGCAATCTTCAATTCATTTGTATTATTAAGTAATAATGTGGTGTAACTTCAAATTTATTAATGTCTACAGGTGTAAGCGTGGGATTATTGCTTCTTATGATAGCAATCACAATCTACCTTGTCTACAATTCAAAATTAAGCAAACAAGATCAAGCCAGAATTGAAAAGTTCTTAGATGACTACAAAGCTCTTAGGCCCAGAAGGTACTCCTATGCTGACATTAAGAGGATCACAAATCAGTTTAATGAGAAATTGGGTCAAGGAGGTTATGGTAGTGTGTTCAAAGGGAAGCTTTCCAATGAAATTCTTGTCGCTGTTAAGGTCCTCAATTACGCCAAGGGAAATGGAGACGAATTCATTAATGAAGTGAGCACAATTGGTAGGATTCACCATGTTAATGTGGTTCGCCTAGTGGGTTTCTGTGCAGATGGGTTCAGGCGAGCTCTTGTTTATGAGTTCCTCCCAAACGAATCTTTAGAGAAATTTATCTTCTCAAAGAATGCCAATAACCCTTTTCTTAACTGGGAGAAACTTCAGAAAATTGCAATTGGTATAGCCAGAGGGATGGAATATCTCCATCAGGGGTGTGATCAACGTATCCTTCACTTCGACATCAAGCCCCATAATATTTTACTAGACCATAACTTTAACYCAAAGATCTCTGATTTTGGTTTGGCAAAGTTGTGCTCCAAGGATAAAAGTATTGTATCCATGACGGCTGCCAGAGGGACCATGGGATATATTGCACCCGAAGTGTTCTCTAGAAACTTTGGGAATGTATCCTATAAATCAGATGTCTACAGTTTCGGAATGTTATTGCTTGAAATGGTTGGAGGAAGAAAGAATATTGATGCTACGGAAGAGAAAACTAGCCAGGTGTACTTCCCTGAATGGGTTTATAATCATCTTAGTCAAGGGGAGGAGATGGAAATTCGGGTGATTGAAGATGGAGATGCTAAGATAGCAAAAAAGCTAACAATCGTAGCACTTTGGTGCATTCAATGGTACCCGGTCGATCGTCCTTCAATGAATGTGGTTGTTCAAATGTTAGAAGGAGAAGCGGAACGCTTAATCATGCCACCCAATCCTTTTGCCTCAACCACTAAAGAGAACACTAATGCAGTTAATCCTAAAATGCCTTTTCACATAGGATTAACAGTCATTGATGAATGATGGACTTCTTTTTAAAGCCTTTTCCATGCCCAAGGTGCTTAACTTAAGCCATGCAAAGCATTTCAAAGTTTGTAAATCGTGTGTTTTTTTCCTTCTATTACAAAGTCTTGTAGTTGTTTAACATGGACATCATTTTCTAAATTTTCATTTAAGAAGGCTAATTTAACATCAAACTGGAATACTTGTAGTTTTAGTTGAACAGTAAGTGCAAGCATTGTTCTAAATGTTTCCATTCTTGCAACTGGTGCAAATGTCTCATGAAAATCTACCGCGGATTGTTGGGTATAGTCTTTAGCTACTAACCTTGCTTTGTGTTTTTGGATTGAGCCCTCTTTGTGAAACTTTGTTTTGTAAACCCATTTCAGTCCAATTATTATTTTTTCCTTTAGGTTTATTAACCAACTCCCATTTCTTGTTTTTTTCAATGATTTCAAATTCTCCATTCATATCTTTCACCCAAACTTATTCTTTTGAAGTTTCTTTTAACTTTTGTAGTTTTAGTGCAAAAAATACAACATCATAAGAATCGAAGATTTATTGAAGTGAAACATACCTTTCTTGGTAGAGTATCTGGATCTACTTCACTTGAGTTTACTTGCCATGGACCTTGATTTCTTGAATTTAAAGGATTCATTCTTGGACTGAAACTTGTTGGGCTTAATTATCTTGTATTTGTTAGACTTACATTTAATGTAGTTGTGTTATACTCATGTCATTACATATCACTTCATTTTTTATTAGATATTTCTTGGTCTATAAGGAATTTTTTTCAAAATCTTCTATTAGATATCTCTTGAAATTACCAACTCATTTGTAATTGAATTTAGTAAAATCGGTAACCTTTGGATTCATCATTGTAGCCTTTTGGGGAAGGATTTCACCTTGCATCATGCTCCATGCCGTTTCTTCTTTTGCAATTTGGACCCAATTCACATAGCTTATGGCTTCAATTTTCATGTTTGCTCGTGCTTGATTCAGATGACATGTACCAAGGAGCACCTGGCAATCAATCATTGGGAATAAGTGCCAAACCTGTTACCAAGTCTTAATAGAACAATTCCAAAACTCCATTCAAATAAATGCATCAGTAAGTTAGTTGTCATACCTGAATTTTGAAAGTAGAGTTAGAACAAAAAAAGGAAGCGTCTTTTAATATGATTTTGCAAAGAAATTTTGTATTTTCTATACCAATGATACTTTTAAGTGGTAAGAGTGCAACAAAAAAATTGAGAAAGAAACAAAACAGTGAAAGACGTGTCCTTTTTCCTAAAGCAAGCATAATGTAAGCCATTGGGGCTGTAATCGGGTTGGATTTTGGATTGGATCCAATTACATCCAAATCCAATCCAAAATTTGATGGGATGTAGGGATCTCATATCAGATTTGGATCTTGTCGGGTTTCAGATTGGGTCCAAGTCCACCTCATTATCTTCAAAAGAAAGAACGAAAAAAAAAACTTAATTGCTTCTAACTTATAAATACAAAATAGATTTTTATATTTGGTATTTTTTTCTTATTGAACTGCATATGTTATATGATTAATGACTAATTTGTTTAGTATTTTTGTTAATATTCTAATTTAATTTGATGCTTGTTTGATTTTTCAATGCTAAACTGAATACCGAAATATGTTTTTTTTTCTTGTTAATATAAACTTGAATACTTTGGTCTTTAATTTTGTTGGATTTGCAGTTTCTATTAAATTGAGTATATTAACTTTTGATTCTTTTTTTGTGTTAGTGTTCATTATTTCTCAAGATTTTGCTGCAGAAGCTACTGAGGATGCTATTGATGATGCAGCCAATGTCGATGCCTCTATATATTCCTCAAATTCTAACAAGAAAATGAGGATTTTTGAAGTGTGGAAGGAGTTTGATTTGGTAAGAAAACCATTTATAATTGAAGATTTTGTTTGTAAGCATTGTCACCAATCATTTGTTAGGACAAGCACAAGTGGAACAACTCACTTGAAAAACCATCTTTTGAGGTGCAAGGTGATGAAATATAAGGATCTCCACCAACATATGCTAGTATACAAAAAGAATGCTAATGAGAAACCTATCCTTGAACCTTTCAAGTTTAATCATGAAAAAATAGTTTAAACCTTGTGAAATTTATCATGTCTTTTGGTTGTCTATTCAATATTGTTGAGAATTAGTTTTTTGAAATATTCACTTCTAGTCTCAACCCATCTTTCAAGATGATTTCAAAGACCACAGTTAGGAATGATTGTTAGAAAGTGTATAATCAAGATAAAGAAAAGTTGTATAAGCATTTTGATACACTTTTTGTTGGTTTAATATCACTATGGACATGTGGACTTCAAGTCAAAGGTTGTCTTATTGTACTCTAATTGTTAATTATATTGATGATGGTTGGGAATTGAATCATAAGATTCTTTCTTTTACTACTGTGAAATCTCCTCATGATGGAAAGACCCTTATTGGAGTCATTTTGGATGTACTTGTGGGATGAAATCTTGATAAGAAGTTGTTTTCCATAACAGTAGATAATGCTTCCAATAATGATGTTATGGTTAAAGAGCTTAATATGCATCTTAGTAATTGATCTTATCTCCTGTTTTCTGGTGAACTATTTCATGTTCGTTGTAGTGCACATATTCTCAAGCTCATTGTGTAGGATGGGTTGATAGGTTTCAAAGTCATTGCATAAAGGTTTTTGTTGATACACCTCATAGATGAAACTCTGCATATGAAATGTTGGATTAGGCATTGGAAATGAAAGAAGCATTTATTCGTTTATTTGATATTGATAGCTAGAGATTATAAGATGTGTCCATCTTTAGAGGAGTGGAGAATAGGGTCAATTCTTCATGTTTGTTTGAAAATTTTCTATGACACCACTAATGCATTTTTTGTAAAATCAATCTCATGTTACAGGAATAGGAAAATAGTGGGTGTCAATTTTTAAGATCAATGGGATCCAAAATAAAGAAAAAATTTGATAAATATTGGGAAGATTGCAATATGGTTTTAGCATTTGCAATTGTGCTTGACCCTAAATTTAAGGTGCAGATTGTTGAGTTCTATTATAATAAGATTTATGGTGTCGAGGCTTTCAGATATATTTCAAAAGTTAGGATGCCTTTATTTGATCTCTACTTGGAGTATGAAGCAGTGTTGAGTAGTTCATCCTCATTAGAATCACATGCTTCCCTCACTGAAAGAGGTAGTGGCAACTTAGGTTCAAATAGTGAGGTTGAGACTAATGACATAAATGGTGATGATGCTAATTTTGACAAATGGTATGTGGATGTGGGTTTATCTTTTGATACAATTCTTGTAAAGTTAGAGATTGATTTATAATTGGAAGAATATCCTTGTTTCCTCAATCCAAAGAATTTGATATATTGGGATATTGGAAGATACATTATAGCAAACGTCCTAAGCTTGTAGTTTTTGGCCATTCCAATGACTACTGTGGGATCTGAGGCAACTTTTAGTACTTTTGGTAGAGTCATTCATAAATATTGCACACACTCAAGGCTAGAAATTGTAGAGGCTCTAATGTAGTAGCAGTTTTTAAGATTGTTTGGCTTAGCCTAGTTCACACCTGAGTGTAATAATATTTGTATAGGCTTACAGGATTGCCCATGTTAATTATAAAACTATGATTGTTTTTTTACAAATTAAAATTCTTATTTAATTCTAGTCTAATATAAAAAAGTATACAACATTTCTATATTATATAAAATTTGCTATCTAAATATTATATAATGATATTTACCATATATGCATATACTTCCAAGTTGAATTTATTAGGGGTTGTTTAGCTTGGGCCCTATCTGTTAAACCAATTATTGAACTCCAAAAGTTTGTTACCCAATTAGACTTTGAATCTGATTATTTCTGATAATGTGTGGACTTGGTGCATATCTCAGTTAGACCTAACTCAAGAGAAAATAGTTGCTTGAGCTTGGAAATTTATAGATCTAATTAGGTTAGGTTAAGTAATAAACAATTTGTTACTTTTTATTCTTAATTTTAATTATCATATCAATACTAATTTTTAGTAGTTGCTAGATAAAACCTAGGGGTGAGCATTTAGTTAAAAATCGAGCCAAAGAAACCGAAATTTTAAAAACTGAACTAAAAAAATAAAAACCAAAACTGAAGCCAGAGTTTTTGGTTATTTCGGTTAAAACACAATTTTAATAATATACTCTATTATATATATTATAACATATAATATATATTATATGTTACATATTATTTATTATATGTTACACATTATATATTATATCTTACATATTATATATTTGATGATGTGCGATTTGGTGCTCCTTGCTGGAGGATAGCTTGGACGTCAGGCTGATGAGGTTGCTTGGTCGAGTTGCAAGAGAACAATATTAGAGTGTTAGGGTTACTTTACCTAGGGTGGGCAGTCCGATGCTTAAGTCAGTGAAGAGTGTTTTGAGAGCTAGAAATCAAGTAAATTGAGAGTTGTGATATCTAAATCGCACATACCTTGTGAGACTTGGGGTGAGGCCTTTATATAGGCGAGCTACCATGGGCCTCATGAAACGTGTTCGAGATCTCCAGCCTGTCAGATCCAGAGGTGGTTTCTCACCCAAAGATGGACTTCGTGTAAACTGAACGCTTATCTGACTCTATCCGAATTGGGCGGGGAGAAGATCAGCTCCGCTGTTGTGGCATCGTGATCCCGAAGAGAAAATATTTGCTTGGGATTRGTGTAGATATGAGCTAGACCTAGCTTAGAAGAAAATATTTTCTTGAGCCCAAGGTTGACTCCGTGTAAACTGATAATGCATATTTGGCTCTATCCGAATCAAAAGGGGAGAAAATCAGCTTCGCTGACGTGGCATCGTGATCCCGGGGAAGTCGGTGGCTCACTTAAGATGAAGGCTTCCTGTCATGTCACGTAGCTCGGTACCCAGGTTCGACCTATTCGTACGCTGACCTGTCGAGGTAGTTCCGTGGTGTAAGAGGTACTTATCCAAATAATCCTCACTCCTAAGAAAACCTATTAAAATTTAATTATCCTATCAATAATTTATACTTGGGTTTGGTGTAGATATGAGCTAGATCTAGCTTAGAAGAAAATTTTTGCTTGAGCCCAAGGTTGAGCTAGGTTATAAATGATCATCCCTAAGTAGGAGTCTTATG